TCTTATCATTACGCTCTTTTTTTACTTAAAATAACGTTATTGAACCGTTCTCCTCTGGCGTTATATACACGTTAAAAAAACCGAACACAATTACGTTAATATACGTTTATTATTTCCTACGTTATTATTACTTCTTATTACGTTTATATATATATATATTATATATATTTATATATATTAATGAAAGACAAGCATAACTAACAAAACTCAGTCGTTTACGCGAGCAGAGCATATATCACACGAAGTGTAATTGGTTTTACACATATAGAAACTCTGCACATACAGTAACAATCAAGCCCACATGTCTAATGAGTAAAATTCGTTTAATCCATTGTAAAAATATACTTACAGATATCAATTCGACATGATTTACAACTATATACTATATATATATCATATACTTATTATATATATTATTTTCAATATCAACATCAAAAACATTAAAGTTGTATAAATTTATAATGAAAATATTCAGGCCATATCATATCTGCCGACTATTTGTGCAAATCCCTACACTTACAATACAGTTTACTCTAATTTCTGAAATACAAACATTCCAGCTATAAACATTTTTCCCTTCTTAAACTTACACTTACCCTAACTATACCTTAACATATGATAATCCACGAACCTTCCTCAGTATAATATTTTCCAGAAATGAATAAAAGCATATTACATCAAAGCTAATAATACCTATATAACTATGAGTGAGCGCGGAGATTATATTAAGGATTATTACTCTTAATTTTGCTATTACATAGTGATAATTCCGATAAGAATACTACGTAACTTTATTTATATACATAGATATAAGATAGATAAATAGATAGATATAAATAGATCAATAGATTTAACACAAAATCTTGATCTTATCAAGGTCTTCTCGTTGTGTGTATATATACATAAACTTCTTTATTTTATTCTCTCCTCCATTATCTCCTTTGCTTTTCTCTATGTTATCTCTCTGTGTCGCGTTGTGCTCTCTACTCGCCACCCTCTCTCACATCTCCTCATCACTGGTGGTTCGGGTGATGGAGATGGCTTAATGTACATTGCGATGCAACTTAAATTCTGCATCACAGAAACAAACCGTCAAATCCTATTACGCAATGTATATATCTCTCTCTCTCTCTCTCTCTCTCTCTCTCTCCTCTTCTCTCTCTCTCTTCCTCCTTTATCTCTCCTCTCTCTCTCTCTCTCTCTCTCTCTCTCTCTCTCTCTCTCTCTCTCGCTCCTCTTCTCTTCTGTCTCTCTCTCTCTCTCTCTCTCTCTCTCCTCTTCCTCTCTCCTCTTTTATATATATATATATATTAATACTATATATATATATTATATTATTATACTATATTATATTATGTCGATATCATGTTTAATCAATATTCGTCATAAATATTATCTGAATAAATAATATGCGACTGTGAAATATAGAAACCTAAAGCGACAGTTTATTATCAGCTATAGCAGTTCAGAGCTTTATTTAATTACCTTCAACTGCCTTCACTCTACAAGTTTGAAACACTATACTACCTCACTCCACTGCTTTCTAGTTTCAGCAGTCAGCTTCTCACTGCATGGCACGAAGTTCAGACGTTTCCTATGCGAAGCAACTTCCAGTCTGTTCCAAAAGAGAAAGGCCAGCCAGTTAGAATACATAATCATTAATGACTCGTCACTTCACATTACACGCTGCGGCGCACGCCACGCACGCACGCACGCCGACGCACGCACGCACGCACGCGCGCGCGCGCGCGCGCGTACTGCCAGTACAGTGCCTAGCTCTAGAACTATTAGCCCTTCGTTCGAGTCGCTACGACTGTGGCGGAGAAAGGGCTCGTACAGTGCTATACACCAACTGAAATGGCAGCCTGATTCGGCAGGGCCAATTTACTTCTAGCTATAATTCTATGAGACATAAACAAATATGATAACACACATACGCTACCAGAGTAAAACTCGTACTAATAACTGATTATGAGGCATAATACAACAGTATATGATCTAGTACCATTGGTCCATGCGATATACTTCTGCCTCGAGCAACGGCTTGGCCGCAATCTCGAACACTTTCTGACTGTTCATATTCCCACTTGTACGGCGTTCTTATTGAGTTCACGCCGCGCTGTGCGTAGACTGGCTCCTCCCTTTTACTGCTAGCGTTATTCAGAAGCACGCCGCTAATAGACGGCAACCAGTTATCAGACTAGCTGTAATCAGCGCTCGAGGCATAATGGTTATCGCGAAACTACGTGCCAGGGGCGGTCGATGTGTGTATGTGTGTTATGAGGTCAAGTGCTGGTTACTAATATCACATCCGCGCTTGGTGTACGACCAACATAATACATGATGCAGCGGCGCCGCGTGGTGTGTGATGTGTCCACTTGCCCACAAATCAAGCCGCAGTTACGAGCCACAGCGGCCCCATTGATCTATGCTATATACAACAATATATAAACAATATATATACAGCGCTTGTATATAGTCAATGGGCGCGCGTGTGTTGCTTACGTGCGGGGCTTATCTTGCTCACACGTGGTGTGTGTGTGTGTATTATGGTGTGCGTGCCAGTAGCGGGGCGGTGTATTTTGTGGTATATTGTGTGTCGGTGTGTGTGCGCGCGCAAGTGTGGCGTGCTGTATATGGGGTGTGGGCGCGTGGTGGGCATGCGTGCGTGCTGCGACGGACTGTACATGTGCGTGCGTGTGGCGTGCATGTCTACGTAATGTGTGGCGCCCGCGTAACATTGAATGAAAATCAAGAGCTAATATACCTCAAGAGCCATACCTCAATAATAAATTCGAAGAGCTAATAAGCAGGTATTATGACTCTTGATAAAATTTAAGTTATCGTAAATCGTTTGTCAGGAACCAGAAACATAGGCTTCGTAATGCAAACAGTAAATAAACGTTAGGTTTTCAACGTTTTAGGACACCATTTCACACACTTATTGAATGTACAGCAAGACGTTTGTTGTCTAACCATATCAAAAACGTTTAAATTATGTTAGTGTAACGTTCATGACTAACGTTTTGTAAATGGTGCCTGACAAGTTATAAATAATCGTTTATTTTACCCATCGAAACCTAGATAAACGTTGCATATGGTAGTTAATAGGTGTAGAAAATAACGTTTGTTTCTAAACCCACTTTTGGCAATATTTAAAAACGTTAAATGGCATGTTAGTGCCAACGTTTATTAGTAACGTTTGTAGTAAACACCATTTCGCAACTATAACAAAACGTTAAATGGTGGTTGACACACGGTTGCGGCAAACGTTTGTCAAGAACCTATATATAACTTTATTTATAACGTTTGATGAACGTTCTTAGAAGGTTTAATTCAAACCAAACCAAAATAAAACCAGAACATAACGTTAGGAAAACGTTATGTGTTAGCTGGGATGGTGTCTAACGTTAATGATTACCGCTCCTGCTCGTAACGTCGCTAGGGCCTACTCACCAGAGTACTACTACACACCAGAGTACTACCAGAGGCCTACTCGTCAGTGTAGCGAGCGCAGCCAAGTGTAACATGACGACTGGTATTATACAGGTTACATGGTGTCAGAATAATTACGAAATTCACGCCTAAAATGGAACAGTTTAAACCCCCATCCCAGCTCAATTTCGATGGGAATCTCTGAGAGAATTGGAAAAGGGGGCGGCAGCGCTTCGAGCTTTACTTCACGGCGTCAGGTTGGGTAAGAAAATATTATGCTACGAATATTGCTATACTACTCCACACGATTGGAGACAATGGAATAGAAATTTACAATACCTTCACATATGAGGATCAAGATTTTCTACACAAATTCAGTGAGTACTGTGAGCCAAGAAAAAGCACAGTTATAGAAAGGTACACGTTCTGGGAACGCTCCCAACGGGAAGGAGAAACGATAGGCCAATTTGTAACTGCCCTAAAAAATCATGCAAAAAACTGTGATTTCGACACACAAAGATACAACATGATTCGTGAACTGATAATTTTTGGTGTGGCAGACTCCAGGCTCAAGGAAAGGCTATTAAGAGACTCCGACAATCCTAAAGCCTACAGACCTGCTAGCATGCTAACAAGCCCCTTAACAAGCCTACAGGCCTGTTAGCATGCTAACAAGCCCCTTAACACGCCTACAGGCATGCTAGCATGCTTACAACCATATTAACAGGCCTAGAGACCTGCTAGCAAGCATATAACCCCTTAACAAGCCTACAGACCTGCTAGCAAGCTTATAACCTTTTAACAAGCCTACAGACCTACTAGCATGCGAACAAGCCTCTGAACAAGCCTACAGGCATGCTAGCATGCTAACAAGCCCCTTAACAATTGCCTACAGGCCTGGTAGCAATCTTATAACCCCTTAACAAGCCTAGAGACTTTCTGGCATGCTAACAAGCCCCTTAACAAGCCTACAGGCCTGTTAGCATGCTTACAAGCCCCTTAACAAGCCTACAGCCCCGTTAGCATGTTAACAAGCCCCTTAACAAGCCTACATGCATGCTAGCATGCTAACAAGCCGCTTAACAAGCCTACAGGCATGCTAGCCTTAACCATAAACCTAACCCTAACCCGATCCCTGACCCTAGCCCTAACCCTACCCCTAACCATAACCCTAGCCCTAACCCTAGCCCTAACCCTAGCCTTAGCCCTAACCCTAACCCTAACCCTAACCCTAACCCTAACCCTGACCCTAACCCTAACCCTAACCCTAACCCTAACCCTAACCCTAACCCTAACCCTGACCCTAACCCTAATCCTAACACTATCCTAACACTAGTACTGCCACGTTGCGGTCACCTCCCTCCACGCCCGGGGGATAGCATTACCCCTACGGGGTATAGACTGGTCCGCGCTCGACAGTTCCACTCGCGTTACACTGACGCGCGCGGCGCGCTCACTTAACGCGAGTGGAACTGCCGAGCGCGGACCAGTCTACTGCTAGCAATCTCCACTGCAAGCAACTTTGGCCTCTCGAGAAATACATTTCAAATTCATTTGTTAGAGCAGAGAATGTCATCCTGTGCAGCTATGAACTGCACTAACAGGCAGTTTAAGGGATGTGGAAGGACATTTCATTTGTAAGTTAGCATTAAAATGGGCAAATTTATGATAAAAACAGCATTATTATACGTCGTGCCAGCGAAGCATATTGACATACAGCAGATTGTGTAATATAACTACAGTAGGCCTATTTGTAGTTGAATGAACGCTATGTCTATGCATTGCCATTTTATATGTTTAATAATTTGGAACAATAATTCAGAAATTGACCATTTCTGATTTCATAACCTATGATAACGTTAGCACAGAAGGCCTACACTGTACAGGCTACAGGTGTATTGTAATTTTGTTATGTTTTGTGTGGCGAACCAGCCTGTGTTCCTCGTGTCACTCGCGGACATAGCCCCTGCGCCGTGCTGGGTATGTTGTGTGCGTTAGCAAAGGTTTTTACCCTCGATCGCTAGCTAGGCACTTGTACTAAGGCCAAAAAGGGTGTGCAACCGATTGTCTATCTTCTAACCCTAGCAAGACCGTTTCTTGGAGCTAGGTACTTGTAAAAAGTTGTATTGTTGTCATGATGTAAAATTAAATGTAGCTAAACCAAATTAGCTACCCCACATTGTAATTTTGGTGTGTGCGTGTGATATTCACTGTACGACTGGCTCTCCCGTCGTCGACCTCCACCGGACAGCAGTAGATGGCTGAGGGTCAACCCAGGCTACTGATGATTCGTTCCGCGGACCACGGAACATTTCCACATCTTGGGGCATTTAGCAACCATGCCTACGCCACTCAAGTTCCCAGTTCTTAACGAGGTTTCAAATGGATTTCAGCTGCGAAAATTAAACCACCGTGAAATATACAGCGTACACAGTAACGATGAATTAAATAAAGGGAAATGTTACATTTTGCTTGTTTTAGGTTCCCTTTTGGCCGCCCTGCCTTGCTAAGCAAATGGCTTGTAAACATGAAGAGAGACAAGTGGTGTCCATCGAATGTTCAGATCATTTTACAGGAAACTGCTTTGACCACAGTGGTCAGACAACCCGGTTGGCAGAAGATGCTGTACCAATACTCTTTGGCTTTCCAGACCATCTCAAAAACGTAAGAGTAAAATATCTACAAGAGGGGTTTGTTGTTGTTGTTGTTGTTGTTGTTGTTGTTGTCGTTGTTGTTAGTGTGTGTGTGTGTGGGGGGTATGTACTAGGATTGTTCGCTAGATAGTGAAAGCAAGAAAACATTCTCAGTTCCTTAAACACTTTTTTATGGCAGCTCTGCTTTTTTGTATTGGATTCTGTATTGGGGTGCGGGTAATAAGATTTAACTAAATCTGCATTTTACATGATATTATTTTATCTATTGTTTATCAACTGCATGTTTCTCTAGCAATGTATTTCAATCTATTAAAATGCAGTCTCACTTTTTGTATATTTTAATCACAAAAGTCGCGATAGGACAGCGTCTCGGAGTCGCCGGCGACCGGTCACCTCGACGACGCGAGCCCGGTGCACCGCATAAGCTCTGCTAAGCTCTGCACGCCGCACGAGACGTCCCACGCGGAGGTGTCTGGCTCCGAGATCATGATCGGAGGGAAGAAGAGAGCTGGGAAGCCCGCTAGACCCGCGTGGAGTCAGCGAAATGACGCGAATTCGACGAGCACTGTCGTCGAATTCCTCAAGACAGTGACGGCGCCGACGCGGACGAGTCTAGAGGTGTTCAAACCCTTGGCCGCCCGGAAACCACGCCGATACGCTGAGAAGAGTTCTGCCCCAAATGCGTCCGGCGTTGCCGCGAAGCAACGGCCGCAGCGGTGGAAGACCAGCAGTCAGAGCAGCAGCAGCTGCAGCAGCAGCATCGTCATGATGAGTCATCGTCATGATCGTCATGATCGCGATCGTTGGCAAGCTCGGCCGCTTCCGTCTCCGCAACGACGTTGGCTGCGACACGACGCACGTCGCCTGCGGTTGCGAGCGCCGCACGCTGAGACACCCTACGAGTGTGTTGCGTGGTTCCCGGCCGCCGGCTTGCGTGCGCCGAGTGGGAAACGGCCGGCGGTGGAGACCGCTACCGGCAGGCGGTGTTTGCGCAGTGTGGCCGTGTAAACATGAATGAGCGTTCACGTAGAAATGATGAATAAGATCCAAACTTGTGTGGTAAACTGTACAACCTTTAATATCTTACACACATCACATCTCCTTACACATAGACAAAGGACCCGCGCACACGCGTGGTCGCGCGTGCGCGTCCTCTCGCGACCAGAACTCCCCCCTCTTACATCTCTCTCTCTATATATATTCCCCCAAAACTCCCTACATCCTGAGCGCGCATGTCACCCGTTCTCTCAGACCACGTCCTACCCCTATTTCACACTGACTCTCGAAACTGCCTAATCTAAAACCCGCTTATCCAACTCCCTGTAACATCAATGTAGCTGCGCGACGCTGCGTCTACGCAGACTAACTGGTCACCAAACAACCCTAGTCTATAGCCTCGCTGACTACTTCATGTAACACGTGCAAAAGACATGTTACATTATCTCCTTTTTCCCCAAAACGATGACTAGGGTAGTCATCAACTCAGCGTCCTCGCTGATCTACACTTTAACCTGAACCTAACCAATTCAAAAAAAAAATACTACCCTTATATCTTCCTAACTCAACCCAACAAGAGAAACGTCTTTCTGTCCGATTAAACACCCACAATCAATACACACAAACATAACAATAATCAAAATACAATAAGAAAACATATATGAAGCGTAGAAAACAAGTACCGGGTAACGATAAAGTTCGATCACAATATAAGTCAGAAACTCAACACATTTGGCATGAACATTCTGATATCTGATAATCGCTGCCAATTACTCTCCACGATTCGCGTATTTTATGGCTCTAACGAGTTACGTGGCGTACTGCCGTATACAACACGCATTACCGAAAACGCACGTTATATCTGATTATATTCATCATAATCCAGGGCACACAGGGGCCATGGCACACAGGCATGTAATAAACACGGGGCAACTGATGTGGTAGCTTGTCACTTCCACACATCATTGGCGGCCAAAACAAAATCAGATCGGTTCTAGGAACAAATACCCCCCGGACAATCACCCCCGCCGGATAATTACCACCCGGACAATTACCCGCCGCGGAGCAATTACCCCCCATGCCATTTACCCCCATGCCCATTACCCGTTGCCCGGACAATACCTCCCCGGACATTTACCCCCCACCGGACCAATTACACCCCCGGACATTACCGCCCCGGGACAAATTACCCCCGCGGACATTTACCCGACCCGGACAATTACTCCGCGCCATTTACGGCCACCCGGACAAATTAGCCCCCACGGACACTTTACCCCACGGACACAATTACCCCCTGACATTCAGCGCCCCCGGACAATCAGACCCCCGCGGAAAGCAATTANGGACATTTACATGCCCCACCCCGGACATTTAACCCGGACATTTACCCCGCAATTACCCCTGGAACATTTACCTCACTTGGTTGATTTAATTTATTCATGCTTTGCAACAGTGATACAGGCAGGAGGTCGAGGAGAGAGGCGCAGAGCGTGGTGGAGGAGATGGGGGAGAAGGTGGCGAGAACCGTGGTGGGTGATGCAGCGAGGGCGGAGAAGGTGGAGGAGGAGGTATGAGAGAAGGTGGATGAGGAGGAAGGGCGGGAGACGTGGGTGGCGGGATGAGAAGGGGGAGAGCGTGGAGGAGATGAGGAGAAGGGGGGAGAAGGATGGTAGGAGGACGGAGCGAGCGACGGAGGAGGAGGAGAGGGAAGTGGAAGTGAGGAGGAGGAGGGGAGAGCGAGAGGTGAGAGAGCAGAGGAGGAGGCAGGAGGAGAAGGTGGCGAGTAGGTGGTGGCAGGAGGGGGGGGCAGAGCTAGAGGAGGAGGAGGGAGGAGTGAGAGAGAGGAGGACGTAGAGGGACCAAGGAAAGGTAGAGGGAGAGGGAAGAAGGTGGTGGATGGGATGGCAGGAGATAACGAGGACGAGAGGCAGGTGGATGGGAGGAGGAGGAAGCAGGCAGGAGAGCAGGATGTGGAGGAGGTAGAGAAGGGAGGAGCGTAGCGGAGGGCAGGTGGTGGAGAGAGTGGAGAAGGGGTGGTGGAGGAGGATGGAGGAGAGGAGGACGACGAGGAGGTGAGGAGGAGGAGAGGAGAGGAGGAAGATGGGTGGAGGAGGAGGAGAGGAGATGGAGAATTGCAAGGAGGGGACGTACGTGGGACGAAGGGCGCGAAGAAAGGAGGCAGAGGAGCGGAGAGAGGGTGGATGCAGGCGATGAGGAGGAGTATGGGGTGGAGGAAGAGGAGAGGCAGAGGAGAGCAGGAGAGGCAGGTGGGGGAAGGAGGAAGGTTAGAAGCACGGCGCCTCTACTCCTCCCTTACCTCATCCACTCTCCTCCTCCTCCTCCCTCGCATCCTTCCCTCCCTCTCTGTCTCCCACTCTCCCTCCTCCTCTCACAGCCTTCTCCCCATCGTTTTCCACCTCCTCCTCCTTACCTCCTCTCACTCTCCTCCTCCTTCTCCTCCTCCCTCCTCCTCCTTCCTCCTCCCTCCTTCTCCACCTTCTCCCCCTCAGTCCTTCCTTCTCCACCTTCTGCCCGCTCCTACCTCCCTCCACCACGTTTCTCCCACATATCTCCTTCTCCTCCTCCTCCACCTCCTCTCCTCCTCCTCCCACCTCCTCCTCCTCCTCTCCTTCTCTCCTCCTCCTCCACCACCTTCTCTTCATCTTCTCCCCCTCCTTCCTCCACACCTTTCTTCCTCCTGCTTGGACCTCTGCCTGTATCACTGTTTCAAACAATGAATAACACACCAAGCTGAGAAATGTCCGGGGCGTAATATGTCCGGGGGATTAAATGTCCGGCGGGGGTAATTGTCCGGGGGTGATTGGCCCGGGGCCGGTAAATGTCCGGGGTGCGTAAATGTCCGGTGGGGTACTTGTCCGGGGGGCTAATTGTCCGGGGCGGTAAATTCCGGGGAGTTAATTGTCCGTGGGGTAAATGCCCGGTCGGTAATATTGTCCGGGGGCGCGTAATTGTCGCGGGCTGTAATTGGCGCGGGGTTTAATCTCGTCCAGGGCGATGCATTGTCCGGCGGGCGTGAATGGCATGGCGGGAATTGTCCGCGGCGGTAAATGTCCGGGGAGTAAATTGTCGGGGGGTAATTGTCCGCGTTGGGGGTTAATATGTGCCGGGGGTGAAAGCCGGGAATTGTGCCGGGGGTTAATATGTCCCGGCGGTTGTCGGGGTTAATGCGGGCGAGGGATGAATCCCGGGGGTGTAAATGTCGGGTAAGTCGGGGGGGTAATTGTCCGGGGGTAATATGGCGGTAATTTGTCGCGGGAGTATGGTCCGGGGGCTAAATGTCGCGGGGGTGATTGTCCGGGGCGGTAAATGTCCGGGGGGTAAATGTCCTGGGGTAATTGTCCGGGGGGTGATTTTCCGGGGGGCTGATGGCAATGGGTGTTTAAATGGCATGGGGGTAATTGTCCGGGGGTGTCGGGGGTAATTGTCCGGGGGTAGATTGTCCGGGGGGGCTTTGAGTTTTGTCCTGGAGCAGCCAAATCATCGATATATGCATCCCATCATACATCATAAATCATATTTACAGCCAACAAAGAATATCGCAAAACTGATTCATATTTTCGATTAAACTGTTTTGCGGCCTATAATCAAACTCTAATTGAAGAATGTGTTTAGCCGGTCTGACAATATAATGGAAACGTGACCGTCATGGTTAGCCACAAATTCAAGAAAACGATCACAAATTTCTAAACAAAGTTTCACGACAAAGGTTTTCCACGAAAAAACGGTTAGAAGCATATATCATGAAGAAAATACCGCGTTCATAAAACAACCATAAACCTACATATAGACATACATACAATGTCAGGTAAGCTTGTGAAACAACTGTGTCGGCGTTCCTTATTCAAAGTTTTATTCTGCTCCGCAAGTACATACGCATAGACATAACATAACATGCACCTTTTGAACTAAAACAGGTATGAGGGATAAAAAAAAATGTATGGTGCATGCTTGCATGGTGTATACAGGAAAAACCCTCGAGTATTAACGTTTATAACTAACGTTTTCACTTTAATTACGAAATAAATGCCGACACAAGATTGATTCAATACTCATTTTAAGTATTTCCGTCTCGTTCATCTCTCGCGTTCTTGTTCCTTTCGTGTAACTGCATCCTTCTCTTCCTTCGTCGGAATCTATTCTTCTTTTCACGTCCTTCTCCTCTCCGCTGACAACCTTGCCGACGCGGCGGCCGCAACGCGTCCTCCTCCACGATTTCCAGCCGATCCTCGTCGCCATCGTCATCGTCGTCGGCGCTAGCCCAGTCTGGCTCACATCTCATCATCAGAACTCGCGCTTTCCGTCCCTCTCTCCCTGTCTCGCTCTCCGTCATTCTTCCTCTACATCTTTCTTGATTCACCGTTCTCTCTCCCGCTTCTCGCTCTCCGTCGTTCTTCCTTCTCCATCTTCCTTGTCCGTAGATCGATATAGTAGTAGATAGTACCTTACGTGCCTCCGCAAAGGATACCAGATTTTGGACTGTCACGAGCACCAAAATGTAAACATGAATGAGCGTTCACGTAGAAATGATGAATAAGATCCAAACGTGTGTGGTAAACTGTACAACCTTTTAATATATCTTACACACATCACATCTCCTTACACACAGACAAAGGACCCGCGCACACGCGCTGTCGCGCGTGCGCGTCCTCTCGCGACCAGAACCCGACTCCCCCCTCTTACATCTCTCTCTATATATTTCCCCAAAACTCCCTACATCCTGAGCGCACATGTCACCCGTTCTCTCAGACCACGTCCTACCCCTATACCGACTCTCGAAACTGCCTAATCTAAAACCCGCTTATCCAACTCCCTGTAACATCAATGTAGCCGCGCGACGCTGCGTCTACGCAGACTACCTGGTCACCAAACAACCCTAGTCTATAGCATCGCTGACTACTTCATGTAACACGTGCAAAAGACATGTTACAGCCGCGTACACATTGGCAACACGGACGCTCCAGAAGAGAGATCGATGGTCACCCTGCTACAGCAGTGCAGAGCGGAGGTGACCGCGTGCCATCGCAAGGCCGACGTCTGTGTTGGCAGGCAGACGAGCAATGTTATGCTCAAATGTTATGCATTTCCGACATTTTAATAAATTTTTATTGAAACCAGAATAATTAATAGTACAATTTTTGTTTATTAAAAAATGCCCAGCCTACACACTGACATTCAAGGAAAGTGTATCATTTAGCCCCATGCTATTATTCTGCCAACCTGGAGCCAGTTAAGCCGGTGTCGGGCCAAGGTGCAAAGCCGGGGGGGTCAGGCAAATATTGGGCCAATATTATTGGTGCTAAGATTAACCGATATTGGGCCAATATTGACCTGGTGCTGTTGTGCTGTCTGGGTATATGCTATATGCTAGTATATCCTTATATATGCTATATATTGCTATATCATATAAGCTATATGTAGGCCTATATAATGTATGCTAGACATATGCTATATTTACCTTAGACCGAATAATTAATTCTGTCCTAGATAACGTTTTATCTATCATCTAATCTTTCATCTATCGATTCATATATATATATATATATATATATATTATAGAATAGCCTAGCAGTACTAGTACGGTACCGTAGTAGTAGTATATTGACGTAATTCACACAGCCTGGTTGTCAATAATATAATATGCTATATTAATTATTATATATAATTATTATATTATATGTAGGCCTATGTATGCTATATGCTGTACCTATATGCTATATTTGCCTATATGCCTTATAAATATATATATATATATATATATAATATAATCTTTCATGTTTCATCATTTTCATCATGCTTCACCATCAAGGTTTGTTTTCATGCGAATGGTAACATAAGAATTATTATAATTGGTAGAATAGGCTGCGACTAGCTAGCACGTGACTCGTGACGTCACGTAAACAATTATTTTTCGTGTATTTCTCGTTCCTTTAGCGCCATACATGTATCTATATACATATCCATATTTATATGATCTCTTAAGTATAGATCAACGTTTTTTTTCATGCTAATTTGAATAATAGTCGCGTTTTCTTATTTTTCATTTGAAATGTTGTGGGGCACAGACCGGCAGATTCAACTTTTGGGAGTAGGTGGAAGATGGCGCTGTGGCGTCACTTTCATTAGGGTCCCTGTATAGGTGTTTACCAACAGTAGAGGGCGTCCATAGGCAGCAGGCCTGAATGAGCAGCACACAGAAAATAATAAGAAATACGTAAACAGTTGCTATAAACACACAGCATGCATTATATTCATGCAAAATCACTGCACATTAACTGTACAATCTTCACTCGAAACTTTTGCCAGCTCTATGATGCGAAATTCCACCATGTTTGTCGGGTACCCCTCAACTCTCAAACGCGGCTGCCGGTCACCATGGCTACGACAACCACGCATTTGCACACTTTTTCCACAAAACCGATTGAAATTTCAATCCTTTCCAAACATCTCTTCGTCGGGCATCCATCTCGCGTGTGCAATGCACATTTCTATGCACTCTAATGACGAAATTTGCCATGAAAAATTCGAGAAAACTGCTTTTTTCTATACGCAGAAATAGTGCAACGGTGAACAATCGCGGAGGCTTACTGTTACACTGCCTTAAAGGGTATGTCAAGTTACAGATGATATGAAATGCGACGAAATAATCCATCTCCTTTCAGCCAGGACATCTGCCCTGGAACTCGGGAAGGAAGGAGGCGTCGGGCGTCGCCCCCATCGGGGAAATGCCTGAAGAGTGCCACGCGGCAGCGAAGCAGAGCTGGTAGGAAGCGCGCTTACTCTGCGACCAACCACCGATCCACCCAGTGCTTGCGAGACGAGGCTCGCGATAGCTCAGCAGATGAACTGGAGTCGTATAATGCTCGTGCACATGCCGTCGGTGGCTGCGATGGTGCAGGAAGTCGTGCGAGGTGAGTACAGTGCCTGATGACAGTGTTGTCAGGTGCCATTTCGATTTTCATCCTGAAATACAGAAAAAGTCACCTTGCCACATATTATGTCTGTATAGGGTTAGGGTTAGCCGTTAGGGTTAGGGGGTTAGGGTTAGGAGTTAGGGTTAGGGGTTAGGGGTAGGTTAGGGTTAGTGTTATGGTTAGGGTTAGGGTACCGTGTATAAATAAATAAATAAATATGAATAATATATATAAATATATATTTATATTATATATATATATATATATATATATATATATATATATATATATACTTACACATTCATACATATTCATAAAATTCTGTGCTAATGAGTGAACGACATGTATGCTGTTTTGCAGAGCACCCGACGACGTGCTGTTCTGTAGCAAGCAGGCTGGCGAGAGCATCAGAGCAGCATACATGTCGTTTACTCATTAGCACACAATTTTATGAATATGTATGTATGTGTGTGTGTGTATATATATTTTATATATATATATATATATATAGCGATATATGTAGATATATATATATATATATATAGATAGCTTAGATTAGCATGCCCCCGTCCAAATCATGCAACCATTTTGTTTTTTTACTGTTTTTTCTAGTATTTTGTACAAAAAACTTAACTTTTGCTGCTCACTAAGTCGTTGAAAATCTCTCTCCTGCATTCTGCACTGAAAGTAGTTCTCGAAAAACCACCTTTTCGGTGATTCTATAGCGTAAACACTTACCCCACGCTGACTTTAAGGTGTTTACCAACAGTAGAGGCGTCCATAGGCAGCAGGCCTGAATGAGCAGCACACAGAAAATAATTAAAAATACGTAAACGTTGTTATAAACACACATCATGCATTATATTCATGCAAAATCACTGCCACATTAACTGTACAATCTTCACTCGAAAATTTTGCCAGCTCTATGATGCGAAATTCCACCATGTTTGTCGAGTACCCCTCAACTCTCAAACGCGGCTGCCGTGACCATGGTTACGACAACCCACGCATTTGCACACATTTTCCACAAAACCGATTGAAATTTCAATCCTTTCCAAACGTCTATCGGGCATCCATCTCGCCTGGTGGCAATGCACATTTATGCACTCTAATGACGAAATTTGCCATGAAAAATTCGAGAAAACTGCCTCTTTTCTATACGAGAAATAGTGCAACGGTGATCAATCGCGGAGGCTTACTTTACACGCCTCCTTAAAGGGTATGTCAAGTTACAGATTGATAATGAAATTTTGAGAGTATGTAAAGGAGGGATTGGCAGTGAGATTCGAAAATTTCAGACAGATTAACTGTCTAGGAGCTGAACAGTACACGTTTGAACAAAGCCCCATTTCGCATATGCTTTGCCGATTTTCATCCTGAAATACACAAAAGTCACCTTGCCACATATATGTCTGTATAGGGTTAGGTTAGCCGTTAGGTTAGGGTTAGGGTAGGGTTAGGGGTTAGGGGTTAGGGGTAGGGGTTAGGGTTAGTGTTATGGTTAGGGTTAGGGTACTCGTGTATAAATAAATAAGTAAATATGAATATATATATATATATATATATATATATATATATATACACACATTCATACATATTCAAAATTCTGTCCTAATGAGTGAACGACATGTATGCTGTTTTGCAGAGCACCCGACGACGTGCGCTGTTTCTGGAGCAAGCAGGCTGGCGAGAGCATCAGAGCAGGCATACATGCGTTACTCATTAGCACACAATTGTTATGAATATGTATGTATGTGTGTGTGTGATATATATATATATATATAGATATATAGTAGTATATATATATATATATATATATATATAGCTTAGATTAGCATGCCCCCGTCCAAATCATGTAACCATTTTGGTTTTTACAGTTTTTTCTAGTATTTTGTACAAAAAACTTAACTTTTGCTGCTCACTAAGTCGTTGAAAATCTCTCTCCTGCATTCTGCACTGAAAGTAGTTCTCGAAAACCACGTTTTCGGTGATTCTATAGCGTAAACACTTACCCCACGGCTGACTTTAAGGTGTTTACCAACAGTAGAGGGCGTCCATAGGCAGCAGGCCTGAATGAGCAGCACACAGAAAATAATTAAAAATACGTAAACAGTTGCTATAAACACACAGCATGCATTATATTCATGCAAAATCACTGCACATTAACTGTACAATATTTACTCCAAAATTTTGCCAGCTCTATGATGCGAAATTCCACCATGTTTGTCGAGTACCCCTCAACTCTCAAACGCGGCTGCCGGTGACCATGGCTACGACAACCCACGCATTTGCACACATTTTTCCACAAAACCGGTTGAAATTTCAATCCTTCTCCAAACGTCTATCGGGCATCCATCTCGCGTGTTCAATGCACATTTATGCACTCTAATGACGAAATTTGCCATGAAAAATTCGAGAAAACGGCTCTTTTCTATACGAGAAATAGTTCAACGGTGAACAATCGCGGAGGCTTACTGTTACACGCCTCCTTAAAGGGTATGTCAAGTTACAGATTGATATGAAATTTTGAGAGTATATTATAGTATGTACAGGAGGGATTGGGCAGTGAGATTCGAAAATTTCAGACAGATTAACTGTCTAGGAGCTAAACAGTACACGTTTGAACAAAGGCCCCATTTCGCATATGCTTGCTGTTGCCATGGCAGGCACCCTGTCTTCTCACCTATGCTGGGCAGGTGCATATAGCATCACACTTGGTTGCTTGCTTTACCAGAGTGAACTATATCAATCACGAGTGCCTACAGCGATGACTGATAAGCAAATGCGACGAAATAATCCATCTTCCTTTCAGCCAGGAGACCTGCCCTGGATATATATAGAGTTATCTTCTAAAGTATTTTTTTCCTTCTAAATTTGAGCTTACATTGCAAAAGTTATAGAATGTGCACTCTCAGGTAAAAGCAATGCTACTGAATATGTTACTCAGCCAGATGCATGGTACAATGCCACACACATGACAGTGTAATTATTACATTATTATTGTATCATTTTAATCAAGAGTTCTTATTAATAGCAAACTTTTCCACTTCTAGTTCAAGTACAAGATGCAAACGCATGCAACACAACCTTGCTTTGTGTCTGCATCCAGCTCATGCAAAGGCAGAATTGCCTCAGCAGAAACTCCCATCTCAGTAAGTTGTTTGATTTGGTCAAACATAAGTGATCGCAGGGGGCTCACCACAATTAACACTCACGTAATGTGGAGTTTTCTTTGCATGTAGCTGAATTGATTAAAAGGAAAAAAAATTAATGTAATTTTGTGTGAGGTTAAAACACTTTAATTATATTAATTAATTATTAAACATAATTAAACATAATTAAACATTAATTAAACATAACATTAATTACATTATCACATTAATAATCGTATATATTTTTCTATAATTATTCACTACCTGATAATATGATAGTTATAGTAAATTTGTACCAACTAAATGTGTGCTACGTAAGTATAAACTTTTCTGTAGAATGTTCTCATCGTTTCTCGTATAGTAGGCCCATTATCTTTTAGAACATTAACAATACTCAGTACTATAGCTCACATTATCACGAGCAAGTGGCAATAAAGTATATAGCATACTCTTGCCATAAGCCGTTGGAAAAACTGCAAAAACATTTGCATGGTTAATCAATTTGTTTAAATTTTTTGTTCTTTTTTTAATGCAAAAGGAATGCCAAGATCTTTTTTGATGCTCTCGAACCACAGGGATTTATACCAGGACGCCATGCTAACATTACTCACGTTGCCAGGCAACATCAGCGCGAGTTCACCCATCACCCCCATGAATAAGGTACTACGGTGCGAAATCAGCCAATCAGCGCTGGGACAGGTCAAGAATGAGATCGTTTTTTAATGTATGCATGCGCTTGAATTTGTTATTTCTCATTAGAAATGCTTAGAACTCTTTGCATTTGTTAATTTCAGAAACTAGAATCTCTGCTGAATCCTACAGTGTAAGCGGCTCGTCCGGGGTGCGTTGCTGGGGCGGCCGGGGATAGTATAACAAGTACAGCAAAAATGACATAAAAACCACTATATGGTGACCATGTACAATATGATGTACTAATGCCAGTGACGGTAGATCAGTATAGTTTAACCACCCCCACCTCAGATCAGAGTAGCACATATTACTGGTGCACCAAATTATTCTTTATTCGTCCAGACATGCATGTTCAGCATACATGCAGCTATCTGTAGAGCTGCAGGCAACCAACAATGCGAGCCTGCCCACATGTATCTCTAGAACTATAGCCCTTCGCTCTGCCACAGGCCTGTGGCAAAGCGAAGGGCTGTAGTTTTAGAGCTAGCCCGGCTGCAACAATGCCTTTGGCCACTTGCCCTATCCTGTCGGTATGTTCCAAACTTACTTCCAAACTCTAAGTGAGATTAGCAGCTGACTAATAGCACAGATGTGTGACGAGAATGCATGCAGATAGGCAAACTTGTTGAGACGGTTATCGAGTACTGGTCGGATGAGCGATCTGGCTCGGGACTCGGGCCTGACAGGCCTTTAGAATGTGGAGCCTTGCTCTTCACTCCGGCTTTTTTTAGAATAAATTGAACACCGGACCTTCCCCCGACCTTAACACCGCCGTTTACTTTGCAGCTTGTCGCTGCAGCTAACGCTTGCACTGTTCCTGTTCTACTAGGTACTTCTACGGACTGACTGGCTGGCTGCGGAGGTGCGTGCGGCCACAGCGAACTCGTACTTCTTCCCCTGTACATGGGGCATGCTGTAGACTTGACAGCCTTGCAAGGGACCTCTTCTCACTGCTGCCGGGCCTTGTTTTCTCACGTGAGATCGGCACCACCACAGGTAAGACTGTGGGCG